ATATGAATTGGAGACCAATAGTTGGTGTAATGGCTATGTTGCTGGACTCCCATGTAGTTGACTGCGGTTCAAGTCCTGGACCCAGTGGCTTAAACTCACACCAGGCACGTGTGCGTGTGTACCCAAGATCCTGAGAGGAGAATGGAGGAGAAGGGATTGCAGCGTGGCCATCCCCCCATAAGGTGATTTCTTGCTTTCTGTCTCTCTGTCTCTCTCTCTGTCTTTCCGGCGAGTGCACACGCCCTATAGCAAAAACCCCTCCAAAAAAAGAAAGAAAAGATAGGAATTGGAAGGAGGCAGAGAAGGCTCGGAAGGTTGCCATAGATGTCCTAGAGGAGGCCAGTGAGCTGGGGTGCTCAAACGGTGGCAGAGCAGGGCTGCGAGACCTCAGAGGAGGCAGGGGGTGGGCTGGGCACTCACGCTGGTCAGTTCGTGGCCCCCTTGGTAGCCTGAGTCATCAGTGAAGCTGCAGATGGATGTCGCAGATGCACCATAGCTGTCAAAGGAGGGGCGTTCTGCCCTTGAAGCCCCCCAAGCTTCTTTGGTTTCCTGAGGCAGAGAAGGAGGCCTGACTGAAGAGGGGAGCACCCCCCACCAAGGAGCACTTTCGGAACCACTTGCCCTTGCTCCTGAGTGCATCCCATACCCAGCCTCTTCCAGAGTGGGTAAAGACTCGCTCTCTTCATCCTTCATGGCGGCAGGACTCTGCGATCACTCAGGCAGTGAGACCCCGCTGTGTCCCCTCCCTTGCTCTACCCTCACAATTCTTGAGTCCCCATGTCCTCACAGACATGGTTGTCATAGCAACAGGGGGTGGAGTCCCTGGCCCCTGGTTTCAAGGAGGGCTCCTCTCAGGATGTGAGAAGGTGTGTGTGCGCATACACGCACGGTCACAGATGCACGCGCACACATGTCTTGTTCACGCCTCAGCAGGAGGACGCAGGAGGGACCTGCCCAAGCACCTTCCCCTAACCCTTGTCCAGGCTAAGAAAAGACGGGAGAGAAGACTGATCAAATTCTGAAAATGGGATAAGCCCCAGAGGGCATCAACACACGACTGATGCAGATTCCAAAATCCACTTTGGAATCCCATGTGCGAGGGAGGAGTTCGGCAGAAAGTAGAACACCCTGCCATCGCTTGGGTGGTCAGGGCTGCCTGAGGTTTTCAGAGGATTCAAGGACTCTGCAGGGACCTTCGGGGTCTGTTTCGAGAGCCTGAGTGCTGTCCAGGCCTCCTGTGCTCCCTCGCCCCATCCTCTCAGCAGCCAGGGTTTCCCTCCCACGTGTTTCTCTACGCTCTCCCTAGCAGCTGCTCATTTCGTTTATTTAAGCACATTTATTGACCAAAGGCAATGCTGCAATATGTCATCCTCAGTAGGATCCTACATTTTTTTTCTTTTTCTTCTTTTTGTTTTTTAAGAGAGATTTTTTGCTGTAGGGTGCACGCACTCACCAGTGAGACAGAGACAGACAGAAAGCAAAAAATCATCCCTCAAGGGGGATGGCCATGCCACAATCCCTTCTCCTCCATTCTTCTCTCGGGATTTTGGACCCAGAGTAAATAAAACAATTTTCTTTTCATTTAACTTTATTCATTTTTTTTTCATTCTTTTGCTTATTTCAACTTGACCAGAGACAGAGAGAGAGATAGAGAGAGAAAGTGAAAAAGCAAGCTGCCAAATCCGGGACTCGAACACAGTTGGCCACGTGGGAATCCAATACCTTTTACCACCATGCCACTGCTGGCCCCCAGAGTGAGTTTTAAACCTTGAACCAAGATCAACTCTGCTGATCCAGATTTTTTAACAATTAATTTATTTTTTATTATTTTATTTAACTTTATTTATTTTACTTATTTACTTTTCTAAAAAAGAATGATCTAATTTTATTTATTCATTCATTCATTTAAATTTGACCAGAGAGAGACACAGAAAGAGAGAGAGAGAGGGAAAGTGGGAAAGCAAGCCACCAGGTTTGGGACTCGAACCATGGACAGCCATGTGAGCGTGTTCAGCACCTTAGCCACCATGCCACCTGATGGTCCCCTTATTTACCTGTTTTAATTTGACCAGGGAGGGACAGAGTGAGAGCGAGAGAGAGAGAAAGTGAGAAAGCAAGCCACCAGATCCGGGACTCAAACTGCAGTCGGCCACGTGGAAGTCCAACACCATCTGCAGCCCCTAGATTTTTTTCTTTTTGAAAGTCATAAAGGGCAGGCCAGCAGGTGGCTGGTGGTTAAAATGTTGGACTCTCACATGGCTGACTGCGGTTCGTATCTATCTGGAGACCTGAAATTCACACCAGGTGTATATGCATTCTCAAGATCCCAAGAGGAGAATGGAGAAGGGATTATGGCATGGCCATCCCTCCCCAGGAGGTGATTTCTCACTTTCCCTCTCTCCATGTCTTTCTGGCAAGCACACACATGCACCCTGCTGCAAAATTAAAAACAACAACAACAACAAAAAAGTCATAAAGGGGGCCAGCAAGTGGTATGTGTTTAAGGCTCTAGACTCCCACATGACCAACCTTGGTTCAAGTCCCAGAACTGGTAACTTGCTTTCTCACTTTTCCTCTCTCTGCCTCTCTGGTGAGCACATGTCCTTTAACAAACTTAAAATAATAATAATTATAAATAAATGTGTTTTGTTTTGTTTTGTTTTCTTAAAGAAAATCATAAAGAGTCTTTGGGGGAAAAGTGAATATAGACTAGGGGCCAGCAGGTGGCATAGGGGTTAAGGTGCTGGACTCCCACATGGCCAACTGCAGGTTGAGTCCCAACTTGGAGGCTTGCTTTCTCACACTCCCTCTTTCTGTCTCTCCCTGATCAAACTGAATAATAAAATAATTAAAATTTTTTAAAGAGTATGGACTGTGTATTAAAAACCAGCGTTATATCCATGTTAAACTTCCTTAGTGGATGAGATTATTGCGATTATGAAGGAGAATGTCCTGTTCTGGGGAGATACATACTGAGCCACACAGGGGTGAGTGTCATGAGGTGGAACTTTCTCTCAAATGGTTCAAAAAGATCTCCGTATTGGGCCAGGTGATGGCACAGTTGGGCCTACATGAGGAAGGTCCTTGGTTCACATCCTGAGCCCTCTCTGAGCACACCGGACACCAGCACGTGCCTTTGATCCAGTGGATCATGGCCTGAGGACCTTGTTGGGGGGACTATTTCTCTGTCTTTTTGATTTATGGAAGAAATAAATAAACTTTTTTTTTTTTTTTTTTTTTTTTTTTTTAGTTTTGCTATGGGGGGTGTGCACTTTACAAACACACACAGAGGGAGGGAAAGTGAAAAATCACCTCCCCCGGGGACCAGCAGGTGGCGTGGTGGTTAAGGCACTGGACATTCCCACATGGCCGACCATGGTTCGAGTCCTGGACCTGGTGGCTTGCTTTCTCACTTTCTCTCTCCCTCTCTCTCTCTGTCTCTCTCTGGTTAAATTAAAATGAACAAATGAATAAATAAAGTTAAATAAATAAATAATTCTTTAAGAAAAAAATCACCTCCCCCAAGGGGATGGACACTCCACGATCCTTTCCCCTCTTGGGATTTTGGGCTCACATGCATACGTGCCAGGCTTGTTTTTCAAGCTGCCCGGGTCTAGGACTCAAACTGTGCAGTTGGCCATGTGAGATCTAGCCACCTTAACCACCACGTTATCTGCTGGCCCAAGAAATAAACTTAAAAAAAAATGAAATAGGAGGGTTCAGCTTCTCTCTCCTTGCTCACATGTTCAGTCTCAGCACAGGGGTGTGCTCGCATGCTCCAACCCCTCAGTACCAGAGATGCGAGTGGGAGGGAATGACAGGCAAAGGGGCTGAGCGGGGCAGGGAGGTCCTCACCACTGCTGGGTCTCCTCGAGCCTCCAGGAGACGGGCTCAGGGCCAGATAATGAATCAGGAGTTGTGTGGGGGCAGTAAGGGGGCACCCGGTGTTTTATATACTGAGGAACATCCTCCAGAACGAAGGTGTCTTTCCTGACATTCAGTGAGGTCCAGATTTGGGGATTTCCTGGGGACCCCATATCCTGGACCTCGGGCCCTGTGCTCTTCCAGTGATGGGGAGGACGAAGTGCTGTTTCAGAGGAGGACAAGTGACTTGGCAGACAGAGCAGAGGGAGGAGGTCAGTGTATACGTGGGCCAGGCAAGGGTCAAGACTTTCCTCTTCTGAATCCAGAAGTGGCCGTTTGTAGGGTACCTGCACAGGATTCCTTCTGGGTGCAGCTCAGTCTTAGAAACACTGCATATCTTTCCAATTCTGGAAAAGCTGCTAAAGAAAGCAAACTTTGGAAAGAAAGGAAAAGGCCCTCACCGAGCAGACATTTCCTGAACTCCACCCGTGTGCTCAGCCTCGCAGAGATCACACCTGGAGGCCTTTCTGGATAAGCTGGTACATGTGTGCCCATGATGTGGGGCTGGCTGAAGTCGCAGTTCTCTCTCTCTGTCAAGACCATGTTGGAGTGCTCTTTCTCTCTGTGTCTCTCTTGCCCATGGAAGAAACAAATTTAAAAAATAATTATATAGAGGTCGGCATGTAGCATGGTGGTTAAGGCACTGGACTCCCACATGGCTAACCATGGTTTGAGTCTTGGACCTAACAGCTTGCTTTCTCACTTTCTCTCTCTCTCTCTGTTTGTGTGTGTCTGGTCAAATTAAAAAATAATAATAAATAAAATTAAACAAATCTTTTAAAAACCTTTTGAAAAATTATATATACTGGTGACGTGCATCATTCCATAAGAATTGAAGCCCCCAGAAAGAAGAAACCTTATCTGTCCCCAGAACCTAGAACAGTGGCATAGGACAAGTAGCTGCTCAGTAAATGC